CAATTGTAGCGACTTGATCACTGAGCTTTGCAGCTCTCAGTTTGTCGTCGAGTGAATAATGCGCATGCGCGGTTTTTCTTGGGGGGGGGACGTTCTAACTACGCATGCTTATGCAACAGGTTCTCAGTCAGAAAGCGTAACGATCGTACATACAAACAAGCAGAATAATAGTATAGATAATGTATCACAACTCGAATGAACATGGCTTTCACTCCTGCTTCCATGCAACAAGCGTAAGGGTTTACTATTGATCTTAGATAAATAGGTGGACGAACTATAACCTGTTTTCTGCAAAGCAATTGGTTCTTTTTAGCCCATCACGAACCTTTTGGTTCTCCTTAGTTCAAGGATGACTGCTTACCTGCCACATAATTAGAGATTCGATTCCCACTGTATTAAACATTCTCATTACATTAAAGGAATATGCGGTAAATTACTTTATGATAAGGTGTTTTTACATTATTTTAGGAAGAAATACAAAAATTGATCAAAAGGTATATTTTTAGCTCATTATCACTTTTCAAGTGGCTTCCACTTTTTGACTTTCTGCACAACGATAAAGAGGAAAGTGTAAACCATGGTTGTACTCTCAGACTCCTATGTACCCCCTGAGAAGTGCAAATGTACCCCAGGCTGGGAATGTCTGTTCTGATATGAGAATACAAGTACAGCCCACAGGACATTGTTCTTAATAAAATGTGAATGTAGATTCTTTTTGATTTTCTTATTGTTTTGGATGAAAACAGACCATAGAGTATTTTTGAGATAACTAAGTAAACCGTGGTGAAAAAAAATCGTTCTTCTGTATATCTATGTGAATTGAGAGTCATAACAAGTCGACGCTACGAATATGTATTGTTATATTTACAGTATGAGAAGCCCCTCAGTGGCTCAGCGCTAAGTCTGTGAGATTATAGCTCTAAAAACCGAGTTTGAATACCTGTAGTGGGCACAGCATAGATACCCCCTTGTTTATCTTTGTTCTTAATGACAAACAAACGAACGATGTGAAAAAACAAAATACTTAAATATTGCTGCTTCAATGGATTTACAACTAGACTATGTTTTTCGGTTGAGTCCCGATGGAAAACATCTACTTATATTTGATTAAAGTTGTTGTTTTTCTTCATTTAGTTTCTTTTTGAAATTCGATTAAATTTTAACATGGATATTTATATGTATTTGTGTTTTTTACTTGTGATGAACACTTATATATATATACATTTTGCTGTAATATATGATAACAGTGTTTCATTTGTTGCTCGAAACACGGCTCTTTTAAGTTGGCGAAACCATTATTTACACTTTACTTTTTACACAACTCTTTAATCATCTGAGCGTGAAATACTTTAACCATAAATAACCAAAAAACATTTCTTTAACCATAAATAACCAAAAAACATTTTTAACCATAAATAACCAAAAAATTTTTTAACCATAAATAACCAAAAAAACATTTTCCACATAAAATGAAAGTAACATAAATAATACCTTCTTTACGAATCAACAACTGAAAAATGTTATTTATCGACAGTTCCTCAGTGGCTTAACGGTAAGTCTGTGAGCTTGTGTACGTTACGCTAAAAATCACGTTTCGATACCCGCGATAGGCA